AAAACGCGTTAGTTTGAATTGCGATCTCGGCGCGCGGGAGAGGTGGGTGGGAGGAGAGACGGGGGGAAGGGGAGCACCTGCGTTCGCAGGGTAGTAGGGGGCAGGACTTACTCGGCCGCCTCGAATTCCTCGGGCGCCTTGGTTACGCGGCGCTTCGTCACCCTGATGGGCTTGGTGTCGGCCTCGTCGGACGCGGCGGGCTCGCGCTTGACGGGGGAGCCGCGGGCCTTGGCCTGGCTCTGGAAGTAGCCGGCGACCTTGGGCTCGGAGGAGAAGGTGGTGGCGTTCTGCGACAGGTACTTGTCCAGGGCGACCTCTAGCTCTGCCTTTTTCAGGCTCTCGTAGCTGTTGGCGGGGGAAAGGGGGCGATGGTTAGCGGGCTTGAAGAGCTCGGGTGATTGCGCGACACGGGGGAAGGAGGCTTTCGTCGCGCGCAAGGCGGTTTGCGCGACTTTGCGATGCTGAGTGAGGACCGGAGCGCGGAAAGGACCCTGGCTTGCGCTATGGCTGGGCGCGCGCGCGCGGGGCAAACTTGCATTCCCGAGAAAACGACGGGGACACGCGCGCGCGCAGGGGGAGAAGAAGAGATGTCGGAATAAGACCTACTTTGTTAGGCCGACGCTGTCGGCGACCTCGACAAGGTCGCTCTTCCGCTGGCCCCGCAGCCAGCTATTGGATGTAGACAAGGACATTGTGAATTTTTGTTCTGTTCTCTTTCCTTTTTTTTCTCGTCCGCGAATGCAGACAAAAATATCCCGGGGTGGGCGGGTATTCAAAAAAGCTTCAGTACGTTGTTGGGTCGCGTTTTTGATTCGCGACTTGGCGAGAAGATGGGCGGGCGCGAAAGTCCCGAGGAGAGGGGGGAGGCGTGGCGGGGAATAATATTCTTATGTGATTAGGCCGTTTCTTGGCGTAGGGGTGAGGTTTGCGATATATCAAAAAATGAAGCTTTTCAAAAACGCCCCTGATGGAAGTTTGAGATGCTTCGCGATGGGATGTTTTGGCTGCTTCGGGGGAGAAGAGTGAGCGGGACAGTTGTTGTTGAGGGGTGGCAGGTGGCAGGGCGGGTGGATGGGGTGATTGAATGGGATGGGGGGGAAAAGGGACAAATAATAGAAGCGGGAGCGGTAAGAACGGGTGGTCTGGGGAGCTTCTGGGGACGCGACGTGGGGTTATATGGGTGCAGGGGCTCGCTGGTTACTCGTACGTACCAAGAGGAAGGGTGTGGGCGATCATGCAAAGGTGCAAGCTGTGCTATAAAGTATCTTGTACCTGTATTATGTATTTATGTGGTATGTGGTGGTGAAGTACCGGGGAGGGAATGAGCATAAACAGCTCATAAGTTTGTGCAAGGTGTTTGTTTTGGTTGGCCCCCGTCGCCCTGGACAACGCGACTCGGGACTCGAACTCGGACTTGACACCTCCAATGGAAAACGATCGGCGAAGAGAAACTAGGGCACCTTTGCGCTCTCTTTCTCTCTATTAGTGTGTCCTGTGATCTATCCGGGGGGGGGGACTCTCGACCTTGGATCATTTCGTGGTTTTGTGCTCCCGATCTTCTACTGTTCCTACTTGGGATTTAATCGGCCCCTCCCCAGCATCCGTGACGTGGTAAGGTACGTTTGCGCAAGACGAGCGGTGTGTAATACTTGTACCGTACTTGCAAGTAATGCCAGTTTAGCGTGCGCCCATGACATAATGCTCCGGACCCTACATTTTAGCTCCTTAGCTCTCTCTCGGCCCGCCGCCCAGACCCAAGCTCGCCCCCAACTAGTAGTTAAGGAAGCTCGCTCGGAGCAGGATGGAGCCTCGCCATCCTGCGGCACAAGAACACCATGCCCACCTCATCTTGTTTACATCCCATCTGCGCGACGGGTTCACATCCTCCCACTTCTCAAGTCGTCACAGGCGCCCGCCCCGGCGTGAACGACCATTAATATCGTTACTAATACTTGACCTGTCTATGTACTTACTTGCTCGCACGCTTATGCTTATGGTACTTTGTTCGGCGTACAAGTAACTAAGGGAGCACACTCGTTCCCAATTTGCGTAATCTGCCCTGGGCCAATCAGCTCCCCACAGTTCCTCGGACGCCACCGACGCGTTTTCCCAGCGTTCGCGTTGGGCCAAAAAGGATGCAAGCATGGATGGCTGGGGTGAGATTTCGGGGACAATCAAATTTCGCAACCGGAAGAGAGTCTAATACCTCTTCAGCACTTCCCCCCCTCCCCTCCCACGGTCCTGGAAGGCAAGACGGTCGACAACAGGAAGCTTTGCTGGTCTGACTTCTCCCTGCGCGATCTTACCCGCCATAGTGAAGAACATCCACCCACTCCCTCCGCCAAGGAGTAGAAACCTTGGCGAATCTTCCCCAAGTCGCGAGAAAGATGGAATAAATATCAATCGTAGTTTATAGATTCCCCTATAAAAAGGACGACTGCCCCCCGTACGTGGCGGGGGAATGTGGCCAAAAAGATAGTTTCTGTTCCTGGAGGGGGTCGAACCCACGACATTCGCATTTCTAACCATATTGCTCAGCTAAGCCAGGACAATATAAGAACGACACGCTAACCACTGCGTCACAGGAACTGTTGGGTGCCAGGAAAGCCGGTAGGCCGCAACTTACAGCTTCTCGTCCTCGGACGTTTTTGGAAAACTGATTCAGAACTCGTTGGACCTATAATTGTAACCCCCCATGCAAGTGATTGATTTAATTGCGAAGATGGTCATGATTGGATTTGTTCGACTTGGGACGTTGTTTACTTGTAAAGTTTTTTTGTTTAAATAAAAAAAAAAAAGTCTGTCTCACTGGTATCTTGTATGCGGAAATATCTATGCATATGCAATTGAATGGTGGGTATAATATGGTATACAAGAAGGTGCAAAAAAGAAGAAAAGAAAAAAAAAGAACAAGATCAAGAAAAAGAAGAAGTTGGGGGCGTCATGCCCAGTACAGAAGTACAATAGTACCAAGATCCAACCAGCCCCGGAAGCGTAGATGGACTCTCTCGCGCCTTCCTCAGTCCTGCTCCAACACCAACCAACAACCTCCTACTAGTCCACCCAGCTCACAAACCTCTCCTCTCCCCTCCTCACGAGCCGCACGGGCACGTCTTGCCCTCCTTGCATCTTTAGCGTCAGCACTGTACTGGCCCCGAGTATCCTCTGCCTACACCTCTCCTGCGCCGCACGATACACCGCCTCCCTCGCCTCCCTGTCCATGCCCGCCACGACCTCGTCGACGTCGACATCCGCTCTGTCCTCCTCCCCCGCGCCGGGCAGGAAGTCGTCGACGGCCAGCTCGAGGCTGTGCCGCTGGAAGATGACGGCCAGCACGGCCACGATCTCCACCTGCGCTATCCGCCTCCCGAGACACGCCCGCGGGCCCTCGGAGAAGGCCAGGAACGCGCCCTTCTCGGGCCTGAAGAGCGACGACGTGCCGTCCACGCCCGTGTCCCCCTCGCCCCCCTCCTCGTCAACCACCGAGCTCCCCGGCGTCCCGGCATCGCCGCCACCGCGCGTGAACACGCTCTCCTGAGACCAGCTCGACGCGGGCGTCGCGGGCGTCGTCGGCGCCGTCGACCCGCCGTCCGAGCCGGCGGTATAATCCCCCGGCGCCCTCCTGAACCACCTCTCGGGGACGTAGTCGTCCAGGTCCGTCTCCGCCCCCGATATCCTGCTCGCCCTCGTGGGCCAGTTCCTCGGGTTCCTGTGCGCCGCGACGGCCACGAGGCTGATCTTGGCGCCGACGGGCAGCATCTTGGCCTCCCCGTCCACCGTGACGACCTGGTACCGCCCGCCCACCGCCCCCTCGCTGTCCACGCACTTGGGTATCTCCACCACGGACGGCAGCTTGCGCAGCGTCTCGCTCATGCACGCGCCCGCCATGCCGCCCAGCAGCGGGCCGATGACCTCCTCGTAGCACCAGGTCCCGGGGTCCGTGCGCGCGCCGAGGATGCGGTCGATGTCGCGCTGGAGGGCCCGCTGCGAGGCCGGGTGCGCCGCGAGCTCCAGGAGCGTGAAGTGGAGGGCGTTGGCGGTCGTCTCGTGGCCCGCCACGAGCACGATGAAGGCGTTGCCTATTATGTCGGACTTTGTGAGCGTCCCCGGATCGCCGTCGGCGGGGGGGTCGGCGGGGGTGGTGGGGACGGGGACCGGGCTGGTGGTCGATGTGGATGTAGGGGGCGATCCGGGGGCGGCGGCGGGGTAGGTCGAGCGCACGAGGTGGCCCATCATGTCCATGCCCGGCGTCGCCGAGGTGTCGCCGCGGGAGACCTGGTCTATCTTCTCGTCGAGGAGCTCGTGCATGTAGGTTAGGAAGTTCCGGTGGCACTCTGCTGCGAACCTGGCCTTCTGGAAGGGGAGGCGGCCTGGATTGGGTGGTTAGTCTCGTGGTTCTTACAGCAGCAAGCGTACTTAAGTTGAGGGGGGAGGGACCTACGCAGAAGCCACTCCGGCACGATGAGCAGCACGAGAATCATATCCAACATGCCCTCTACGGCATCGACGAAGCTCATCGTGTGCCCCTCGGCCGGCTCCAGAGCCGAATACTTGTACAGGCGCGGGTCAGTCCCCTCGGGCAGCTTCTGGCCCGGCCACAGCAGCCTCAGCCCGAAGCCGACGTACCCGATGATGTTGAGCGCAAGCCTCATGGTGTCGTGGTCGATGGTCTTCACGGGACTGCCACCACCACCACCCACTATACTCTTCTCCTTTTTCTTATTCTCCTCCTCCCCGCCCCCTTCTCCCTCTCCCTCTCCCCGGCCTCCTCCGTCGCCGCCCTGGTCGGCCACCCACTTCTCCAGCAGCCCGCGGGTCTGCTCTGCCGCCACGTCGAAGACGAGCGCGGCGTTCCGCTCGCCGAAGGCGGTGCTCGTGACCTTGCGGTGCAGCTTCCAGGCGGCGCCCTCGGAGGTGAGCACGTTGTCGCCGAACTGGGTGAGGACGGAGTACGACTCGGTGTCCTTGGGGAAGTGCTCGCGGCGAGAGGTGATCTGGCGGATGAGCTCGGCGTTGTCGGTGAGGACGACGGTGGAGAAGGGGGAAACGATGAGGATGGCGGGGTCGGTAGCGAAGACGGCGTGGTTGTGCCTGTAGGACCAGTCGGGGGTGAGGAAGCTGGAGGGGGGTTCTGGTTAGCCGGCCTTGGGGGGAGGGGGAGGGGAGAGAAAAGGGGGCTTATAGAAAGGTAGGGGACAGAAAGGAGAAGGCAAAGAGGGGTAGGGGAGACTCACATCATCCACTCCTCCCACCACGAATTTGGGAGACACTTGACGAAGGGACTCCACAGCTTAAACGTCAACAGGCCCGGTATCCAGAACGGCGAGATGGCTGCGGCGGCGTGTTAGTCGCTTGGGAAAAAAAAAAACGGGGGGGGGG